AATGTTTAATGGTTTGTTTTCCTAATGAATGTAACAATTTCATCAGTTGCAGTGATGGTGAGATTATAGCAATGACCCTCTAGATAAACCACTGAATTAATAATAATAGAACTACTCCTAGTAGTAGTCATCTAATTGTGTTCTTGCTTTGTTTACTTGTGGCTCTGGCACCAGCACGGCTTACACATGTACCTGGACATTCACTGAAAGCTCATCCCAGCCTCACTTACGCCCAGTCGTCTCCCTAAAGGCCATACGTTTGCCTCACTGCATACGTTGATTTGCACAGTACTGTGCCTGTCACAGTGTCACAGTGTCACAGTGTGTCAGAAGCACAGAACAGTGCTAAATCACAATAAATGTAAATGTGAAATGTGACAATAATACCGAAGAAGAAGTGTGAGAAGGAGAGCATCACACACGAATACATAAGGTAAAAACAGAGTACTGCAAGAAAGCGGAATATATAAGGTAAAAACAGAGTACTGCAAGAAAGCGGAATACATAAGGTAAAAACAGAGTACTGCAAGAAAGCGGACAAAAGTAATGGAGCTTTTCTTAAGCTGCATTGAAGCTTTGGGAAAACGTGTTATGCTGAAGGAGGAAGGGGAGGGGCTAGTGAGAGGAAGTATAAGGGTCATATGGGGAGGTCAGAGGAATGGAGCACGACCGGTGACCTTGGTGGGAGAGGGAGAGAAAGAGGGACAGAAAAGGAGATGGATGAGTGGATGCTCAGCATGCTGGTGGCTGAACAAGGAAGAATGACAGGGCTAATTGCTGCTCCCATGTTCCTGTCAGCAAACGGGTCTCCCCAGTGTCTCTTACACCATGTCCCCAGCTTGCCGTTAATCATGGTACTAATGACCTGGAGAAAGGAGGGGAGAGGGAGCAACAAACCCCACCCCATCTGTCCTCCCTGCCAGGCTTATTGTCCCATGGGCTGAAGTTACAGGGCAAAACCCTGAACCAAGAACACGACTGGGGTGAAAAGACCCAGGTATGAACTTCATCTCCCAGAAGCACCTCTGTTTAAATAGACGCCTGTCAGACGCATGTATCTGTGTTTAGGGACACACGTCACCAACACCGTCACAGGTTGGTTCCTCGAACACAAGCACACGGACAGACAGTGACAGCTCATATGCCCAGGCCTCACCAGTGCCCTCTCCCCCCCAAAAAAACGCTCAGCCATTCATGAAGAGGAAAAAGACAGGCTTAGCTCTCATAACGCAGGACCCCAGCGCCGTTCGTGGCGGTTACGGTGGGCAGCTCCACGTAGGATGAGGTAAGGCCCCAAGGGAATCCGCTTCAGACTCAAGGGAAATTCTGCTGATACCAATGCAGAGAGCCATGCTACCTCCTTATATCCCTCAAATCCCTCAGATCCCCCTTGCGTTCCCTAGTGACAACCCCCCTACCCTCCTCCAGGGGCTTAGGACACTCCCACTGCAATTTAGGCTTATCCCAGCATGTCGGAAGTGGGACTACTGACAAGCCCCAGTACACAGCATTGACATAAGCAGCAGTCAGCAAACTAGCAGCAGTTTATGTGTGGCGATAAGCACTGTGTACCGTGATGTCATAATAGGGGGTGGGCGGGGGTGGACTGGTTTGGAGTGGCTTCACTTAATGTATTGATCTGTTGTTCAGCTAAATAAAAATAAAGTTGTCCTCCGAAGAGTGGGATGGTAGTGGTTGGGCATTAAGAACAAAAAGAAAGCATGTAATGGCTCTGGATAGACCTCACATCAGCACTGAGGGTCCCCCAGGTTAGCTGGTGCTTCTACGCCAGGGCTGGGGGGCTTGTCACATATTCATTCCAACCTAACACTCCCTCAGCTGCTATGAGGAGTGTGTAATCAGGTGCCTTGGCAGTTGTTGGTTGGGTTTTGGGAGGGGGGGGGGGTGTATAATATGCATAAACAACTTTTGCAACGGGCATGCCTGCGGTTTTCAGTGGGGTAGATTCTACTACAGAATGCTATAAAAAGGTTTCTAGGGAAATTGCCCAATAATGAGTTGGATTCCTGCTAGCTGTGTTTAGAAAAGACCTGTATTTACCTCAGTGGGAGTGTCAATGTCCACCCCCGTGCGACAGAATTTATAGGCGGCACGTACATCTAATCTGACTCTCTGTGTAGCGCTACTAATAGCAGCTGAGTAACTATTTGCCCAGCTACCAAGACCTGCATTATCAGATCATGATGACTGTCAGCAATCACTGACTTGCCAATCCTGTTACTTCTCCTTTTAACATTCCAACTGCTCAAATGAGGGGAAAGAATGTTACACTGTAATAGATATTTTTAGGAGAAATGTACTAGAGGCCAATCACCAGAATCTCTAATCAAAGCCGGCTGACAATTTTAGCATTTATTTCCCACATTACCATTGTCTACAGAGAAAGAACAGATGTAAAACTAAAATCATGACATGCGAAGATCTTTGCACCGAACAACAAAACTACTGTCAATGGGCAACTATGCCAAGTTTCCAGGACTAATCAGATACCATGTAAGAAATCTGTCTGGCACACCTCAAGCACACACCCTGCCATTGTGTCCCTGTCTCTCTAGAGCTACGGATCTGCGCGTAACGGGGCTTCTTTGCTTCTTAATCACCAAAAAATTGGGAGAGGCCTTTGAATGCAGGTGCGCACACCTGTTTTTCCAGTGTGCTGAACGAAGAGCACACAAGCCCGTGGCGGTTATGAGATTCAACTTTAACCAAGAGAAAATTCCCAAAAAAAAAGAAGCAGTGCGATAAATATTTTTTAAAACACAATGATGCAACCATATGTTAGTAATGACTTGTTTGGAAGCTCGAGACATAACTCAACATTTGCACTTTAAGAAAACTTAGGAGAGCGTGCAGCAGAGCGTACAACTGATGCTGCTTCTCAGCCCAGCTGAAGATGTCAAAAACAACGTGATTTGGCAGCGAGTGAATTGCTGTGCAGTGTTCCGCAGACAGAATGAGGATAGAGGATGTGAACTTAAAATGTGTCACATGAAAGGACCGTAGAACATGTTCACCCTTCATACTTTATCTATTGGATCTATCATAACATTTCCCCCCCGCTCAAATAGCTTCTAAGAAGTTATAGTAAGGGAAAGTTTGGGCAACAGAGCTGACATCTCTTGCAGAAATAAAGTGATTGACTCCAAGCCCCTTGTTGGTCTGCACGCTTGCCCAAAAGCAGCTACGTGCCTCCAGAGCCATGGCCTCCAGCATTCCGGCTTTGCCCACAGGTGGAAAGGTTACCTGAGTCACCGCGACTTTGTCCGGTCCGGCTCAAGGCCGACATAACTCACCCTTTACTTGTTATGAGTCAAGCTAGTCTCATCCATTCTCTTAAACACCTAAGTCTCCTATGTAAACAGGCCGCCATCATTAATTAGCATTTTCCTGCTGCTTTCCGCACCTCGAAGGAACCAGACTGGCTAAATGGCTCAACCTCCTGTCACCACGTTAATCAACGGACACAGCGGCATTATCAATTGTAATGCGCACCCTGCAGAACAAACAGTGCTTACAGGTGCGAATGATCATTCTACAGACACTACTCCACATCGTCTGCAAATCAGATCAACTAAGGGCACTCAGACAAACATGAGAGGACAGGTGGCCTAGTTACATTAATGTGTGTTTTGTTTACGATTTGTTTTTTTTTTTCTAGTGTGAATCTCAAACATTCATGTGATCCCCAGAGGACAGGTCTTTTGTTCTCACCAAAGGGGCTTAACAAGGACTGTATGCTGGGAAGACAGGCCAGTAACTCCGAGTGTAGAACTTTATCCAGTTAAAACCAGAGGGTTTAGCCAATGTCCGGCCTCCAGTGGTAATAACTGCTGAGGGCTTGGCAATGTACTGCCCAGGTCTATATCTATAGAAGCCACATGCCTTTGTGGTAGCGTGTGTGTTTTAGTGCATAAATGTGAACATTTGAACGGGATGGAAGCTAATGATGTGTGTGTGTGTGTGTGTGTGTGTGTGTGTGTATGTGAGTGTGCGAGAGAGAGAGAAAGAGAGAGATGAAGCAGTGTCAGATTACCTTATATTTATTTTCTTACTCATTCAGGCTTAATGTCAAGCCCTCAGTTGTAGTCATGACGTAATTTTTCAGGGCAGGGGGTTCTTCGCTGAGGAGGAAGAGCTAATCACTGGCTAAGTGTCACTGGGTCTGCTAGGAATAGACTTAAAACTGCTACTATGCACTTTCCAGCTTTGGAAGGCATTACACAAAGAAAGGAAATCAAAGCTGAATGCAACACCCATTGTTTTCTGAATCAATGAATCAGTGTCAGTTATGGGAACAAATGGTTTTCAGTGTCAATAAAAATGCAGCACATTAAAAAAAAACCTGCAACTACCACATACCATAACTATGCTATATTTACATATAAATGGCCACACATCAGTAAAGCCATCACCTTCGGGTACCGTCGTTAGGTCCTATAGTAAAAGCTACAGTATGACAGTTTACACAGGAGAAACTGGTGCGATGCAGAAAACGTGTCCCGAGCATCGTCCGATGGCATCAATAGTGCGCATTGAAAAGGGGGAGTCACTGATGTGGCAAGCTGTTTTAATAATCGTAGCTCAAAAACCCTCAAGATAGAAAACACACTAAAATTATAACTATTTATATGTAGTACATACAAAATGATCTGGTCAAATCAACCACAGCCGCGTCAGGTGGTCGACAAAATACATCTATAAGAATTTCCCATGTATTTCAAACAAATTTAACCATAGGTATACTGACATTTACAGGAGTGTGTGTTTCTACTCTTAAACCCCGACTGCAGTGCCCTTACTTTTAACTTGGACAAAGTCCAGTATCCCGCATAGTATTGATGCGATTAGACCATCTGTTCGAGTGTATGTCAATAAAAAATCTCAACCACGTCTCGTCATTGCGTTTACCGGGACAAATAATATAACTGTTGCTTTTATATTTAAGGCATAAATACACGAAACAAGTCATGGCTATTTACCTGACGTGTCCCACATGTTCAGTTCAATCCTTTGTTTGTCGATCTCAAAACTAGCAGTGTAGTTCTCGAAGACCGTAGGGGCGTAATTCTGCGGAGAAAATCATGTTTTGCGGCATTAAAGCGCCAATCCGCCCATTCAACAAATTCGGTTAAATAAACACGGTGGCAAGGATCCACTTTAGTTCTCGAGTTTATTTAGGACTACCGGTATTTTTTACTGTACTTATCCAGTACTGGCGTATTTTATCTGTGTATTGGTGCCGTCTTTTCTATTGTTTTTGCTTTTACTTTGCTTGTACCTTAGTGATAATAATAAGAAAACAACTAGAATAACGTCAAGGAAATACGGTTAAGTAAGAAGAACTTATCAGTGTCATTATCTTGGGTAGATTAAATATACTAGGGCTCAGTAAATGAATGCAGCTATTAAAAGTCTCGAAATTATTGTTATGATTTTAAAACATTCAAAATCTCAGAATCATCTACACCTCTATAATAAATAAAATATAATAAAATAAAAAGGACCATGCAATAATCTTCCCACGATTGCTTAGATTCAAAGCACGCAGGTGCTAAATGAATATTCGGGAACATGTAGATGTCCGCCTAAAAACTTAAAATTAATTGTTAATTTCGTGCGTTCAATTATAAACGTCATTTCATAGCGAAGCGTGTGAGTCTAATCAGTCGACCTATACATTTTTAAATTGATTTATTTATACATTTTCGTTTCCCATAACTATAGTATTCGTGGCGATATCTAGATAAAACTGTTTGATACTTGTGCACACTCGCTGTGCCGTAATTATACAATCACTCTTATAACATCACTTTCAGAAAAAGACATATGAAACACGTACCTGGGGATAGTAGTCCTTCGCGAACACATGTAACAAGGCTGTTTTGCCACACTGCATATCCCCAACTACAACAATCTTACATCGGATGCCCTTACTCGCCATTGTGGTGTGTCAGTGTCCCTTCTGGACAAGACTGGTTTTAGGGTCCGATGGGCTTTGGGGTAAAACTAGATGCGTAAAAATCCAAAGGGCAGCAAAGAAGCTGCGGGGCGCCCCTCAGTCCTCCGACTTTGCGCTCCCTTCTGTCGCCTCGTCCTCCCTCTTTCAGCCTCTCCGGTTCCCACGGTGACACTTATGCACTAGGCGGTTGCAAACTCACCGCCTGAGCATGCCGCTTGATTTCCTATAAACTTAATTTTTTTCTTTTGGGCCCCTCCCAGCAGCTGATATCGCCCAATAAGATTGAGGCGAAGTCTTACTGTTTTTTTAATTCAGATAGACAGATAGACGATAGATAGATAGATAGATAGATAGATAGATAGATAGATAGATAGATAGATAGATAGATAGATAGATAGATAGATAGATAGATGTGGGTAAAAAGAGAAAGTGAGCTTGTAACAGAGCACCTACACGCTATTTCTAAGGACAGCTATCAAAAATTAGNATAGATAGATAGATAGATAGATAGATAGATAGATAGATAGATAGATAGATAGATAGATAGATAGATAGATAGATAGATGTGGGTGTTTTAAAGTACACCTTTATGGCTTCCGAAATTTGTTGGGAGAAAACATTATTTTTAAGCAAAGGTGGGGAAAATACATTACCATTATGATTATATGGCAATACCAACTTTTGTAATAAAAGAAACCAAACTATAAGTAATATTTGCCAAATGAAATCATTCATCATTCTGTGTTGTAATTTATTTTTAGATGGCTAATTATGTCTGGTCGCCTGACTATGCTAATTACATGTACGGTTACAAGATGTATAGATACATCGATGGATCGACGTATGTTATATAGGTGGATGTTAGATGGATTTGGATGATACCCATTGTTTTATGCTGAATTACGTGCAATACATTGACATTATTTGAATGCAACATTTGTTGTTTCTTTTCCCCCAATAACTGTTGTTTGTTCTTATTTGCCTTTTATGTCTGCTGACTTCTTAAAGTTTCCTGTATGGTGGCCTACCGGTTCTCGACATGTAACATTTATTGTGTCAGTGCATAGGAATGTTTAGGTGAGCGAATGTACAAGACGGAAGACTTATACAGCCTATATAACACTTAACTTACTGATGAAGGCAAAATAATAAGAGCCCTGCGTTTTTTTCCGTCCATTTTATTGACAAAGTGAAACTATTAAACTCTGCTACGAACCAGAATTGTTTATTCCCAGTTTACTTTTTGCCATAGGGCTCAAACAGCCTGGTACATGTTTGTCACACATGCGAAGTGAAACGTCACTGACGACCCGTAATAGCTCGAGATGATTGTTCCAAATGTCAACGCATCTGATAGCAATCACACATCTCTGATTTCATCGTAACTTTAACCTTTACTTTGTTTCAATTACGACCCTTATCTGTGTGATTTTTTTTGATTAACTTCTTTTTAGCTGGTATTTTTTATAGCCTATAATTTGGTTATTTGGTTTACGGAAACGCAAAATAGGCCAACATACTGTCACCAATGGCTATATGAACTGGTATGTTGTCGCCATCTACCGTCTTAGATGTGAATTTGTTCTTCTAGGAATCCCTTGTCAGAAATACATAACTTCATTTTGGAATATCTCTTATTATATGGAAAAATGCATCTCCTCAAATTTTGTGAATCTTCAGTGAATATGAGGACTGGGTCAATAATAAAAAGTGTACAATTATTTCAACTGTTATGGTTGTGATGAGCAGACTGAAGAGGGTTTAGAAGTAAGTCTGTGATTAACTTTTGGTGTGACAGGGTCAGGAACTGAAACGTTTTCATAATCTTTGAGTCCATTTCTCTTATCCTTCTTTGGAACAGGAACGGCGACGGGCGTTATGAAGCAAACAGGAACCCTGCACTGGTCCCAGGACTAGTTAAACAGATCAGTGCATCTAGCTGGATAGCACAAGTTCTCCAGTGATACAAGAGAGAGTTCATTCAGAGCAGCGGCTTTCCTGCAGTACTATCTCCCGAGGAGCCTTCAGATACTGTGCTCTTTGATGAAGAGGTGATGTGATGGAGGTGTTAAGCAGACAAGAAAGGTAGGCTTGTAAGTGTTCAGGCAGCGGCAGGGACGTGGGGGCAGGGCATGGCGAGAGCCAGGCTGAATGGCTAGAGGTGAGAAATACGGTCGTTAGTTGTCTGGCTATTTGAATTGTAATCTCACTGAAAGTTCCGTGATCAAATTGGGTTCCTTTCAGTTTTGATAATTTTTTGTTAAGTTCTGATATTGCCTTCTTGCAGCCCTCGTGATTCTCCCTCTTGTGGACCGCCTGCTCACCACTCAGACCTCTCAGCTCTTTAGCGAACCATGGATTGTCATTGAGGACAAAGGTTTTGCTAGAGATGCAGGGCTTGTGAGAGGGATGTGAGAGTATCAGTGTACTCATCAATGTCATCACCACATGCAACTTTTAAAACACATATATAAGAAAATGTAAGATATTTGACTGAAATGTTATTTTTTAATATCAAATGATCTCTGGATTGAATGAATGACAAAAAGAAAATACTTTAAATGTTAAACTCAATGTCTTAACTGAAGTAATAGTTTTCTGGTAGTATTCTAGTTTAACTGTAATGTTAAACAATGATTTATTTTTAATATATCTTGGTCTTATTGCTTTAAATTAGTAATACAGTGTTTGATTAACCTTTTCTCACTTAAATTAAATTTTTAAAAAATCACCATAGGTACCATATAAAGGGAATGTCTTTTAATAATAGGTGTAAGCTTTTTAAAATAATGGGTAATGTGATTGTGGATAATGTGATTAAGTAAGGTATTCTGTAATGCAATTTGAATCTCACAATACATTTAATTAACATAATTTAATAAGTCTAATTGACAGCTCAACTAGACCAAAAGGCAGACACCATTTATCACAGTTGGGAAATTTTATGTATAATGTTGGTTCACAGTCCTCTGATGGCTTTCTCAGCAGTGTATTTTGAAAAATGTATCAGAACAACTAGCCTAACCAGAAAAAGGGATAAGGGTTGCATTACATTAGCTATAAATGCGTATGCCTTAGTGAGTCAATAGACAGTCAGTGTATTCTGGGTGGTGCAGGGCAAAAGACTGGGGACACCCTAGACTGGAAGTGGAAACTAACTAGATCAAATGTAAATAGAGCTGCTTTCAGTGAAAGCCCATACAAACTAGCAGCAAGGCCTAGACGTATATTCACAAGCAATCAAACACAGGATAACAAACAAGGGCCTGTATCACAAAGTCAGATAACTTAATGGATGTAAGATATTGCAATTCAAATAAACTTTTCTTAGTTCATTACATTCAGCCCAGACCACCTTAAATCCAAAATGTTATCTGGCTAATGTTGGCCTTACACCAAATGACTTCTCAAGCAATTTCACTGTCGCAGACAAATTTCCAGTGTTGGAATAAAATCATGAGTGTTTTGCTGGAGTTGTGGCTTGTTCCTGCCTTCTTGATTGTTTAGCTTAAGGTGGTCAGGATAGCTGTCTTAAGTCAGTCTTTTTCTTGTCTTGACATTCCAATAATATCAACCATTAATATTATCATAGATTTTAGTTCACGCAAAGAGTGACATTGACATTGTCAACAACCAATAGGACAGCTCTTTCCAGCACCAAACAGGAAGTAGCAAAGTGGCTACAGAATCTCAAATAGGACAGACCAACATGGAGGAGCAGGTACAGTATATCATAGAGTATATATAGTATAGAGGTACAATATTTTGAATGCAGGTTGCATTGAATTTCCACTGCATTTGAAAGTCACTGTTCTATTTCACACTATTATATCATATTGTGCAGTGTTGTTTTTATATGCAATAAATACACATCTCGCAAGAATTGTGGTCTTTATTGCATTTATTTTATGTACAACAATTCTGTATGTACGGCTATTCGGTACAGCAATTCTTTGTTGTACAAAACTACAGCAAAATCAGACGGAATCTAGTTGCAGTCTTGCAAATCGTGACCCTGCAGGATGCCCAGTTTTTGCAAAATCATAGTCTGTGGCAAAAAACTCTATCTTAAGAGAAAAGAGCAAACTGGATCTAACCAGATAAAGAAGTGAAAGGCCTAGATGCAAAACTGCACAAGATGGTATGTACTTCAGAGTTTGTAGATCGAGAAACTGGTGCCTTACAGGTCTTCGGCTGGCCACTTCCTTAAATAGTTCATGCTAAATATCACAATATCAAAAAGAAAAGGTTAAAATGGGCAAACATGTACAGACTTTGACTGGTGGATGCTTGGAAAAGGACAATATGGATGGATTAATCTAAGTTTAACGTATCTCGATCAAGAAGGAGAACAAATGCAAAAAGGATGCTGGAGGGCTGCTTGTTACAACACATTAAGTAATAACACTGCATTGTGCAATAACTTGACTAAGTGTCAACGAAGACATCCATTTTGGTTGTTTATTGCATAAGGCAGGGTAAGACATTTTCATCATTAAAAAGTGTCACTCCCACATTTTGTAATAACCATCACAATAGGCAGTGGTGGAGGAAGTACTGAAGCTTAGTACTTAAGTAAAAGTACAAATATCCTGCAAAATATGTACTCAAGTAAAAGTAGAAGTGCTACATCAACAATCATCTTACTTACGTGAAAGTACTAAGTACTTACTTTTAAATTTACTTTAAAGTATTTTTTTAAGTAAAAGTACTCACACAATGGTTTGTCTCAACGTCTGGGGTGTGCCATTTTGTAAAAGAATAGTCGATATACTGACTTACGCCTCTACCGATGTCATTGCTCGTAATAATTACAAGGAACTATACAGTATATGTGTATTGGAAAGTTTGGTGTGCTTATTGTGCGTGCACTCTGCAATACTGTGTGTACCCTAACTTAGAATTATGTGGATGACAAGTTATCTACTAGGTATTACCCACTAATATACCATTAAGATAAACCATGTTGAATGGGTCCATGTTGAATGTCTCGTCTTCTTGAGATCAAGATAGTCTACCAGCTCCTGCTGCTAATTGACGCGCGCTCTGCCATCATTGGAGCTAATAAAGCCACCTGATTGGTAGGAAATTCATTGCATATTGTTTTCAAGTTGTCTATTACAAAATGCAGCAAATAATTACAAAACGCTGGTACTGTTACACAATGAAGTGAAAATTTGCTGAGTTAGTACATAACGTGGTATTACATACTGTG